AAGAACTAGAGGAAAGTTGTATGTTTCATCATTGCTACACTGCACCCTGACTGGCTCGTCTCCTCCCCAACACCCTTCTGTAAGGGGATGTCCAACAACTAAGAATTTTTTAAAGTACATGGCACCTGACCCTCTCTCCTACTTCCATTCTACAGGCTGTCGTCTTGCTTCTCATCAGCGAAGATGTGTCCACATTTATGTCCTGAGTGCATAGGTGATCCCCTACGAGCAGTGCTGTTTTCATATAATATGCTTAGACATCTGTTTTTCTAGCACCAGCAGTTTGGTTATTGTTGCCATTAACTTTTATTAAGATGTAATATACATACATAACAGTGAACATTTCATAAACATGAAGCTGGATAAATTTTCTGATGCAGCACCTGTGTTAATAGAAGTTTATTAGCATCAGAAATCTCTCATGCCCTCTTCTACTTAACTGGGCAGCCCCTCCTTCTCCAGCAAGAAGAACTATGTTAACTTACATCATTTTGTACTTTATATAAATGGAGTCATGCAATGTATACTTCTTTTGTATATTTGGCTCCTGTTACAAAGCATGATTATTGTAATTCCTTTTCACTGCTGAACAGTATACCATTATACAGTATACCACATCTCTAGCAAATTTGAGTAGCTTCTGGGTTTTAGCTATGACTTCAACCTTGAGCAATTTTTTTAAATAAGTGAATTTTAAGTATAAATTGTTATCGAACATAGATAAACTTGGAGTCTGCAAATTTTAAGATTTTTAATAGTTCTGATTTTATGAGTAGCACATAAAAAGAAAATATGTCACCACTCCAGCTTTATTTAGATCCAGTTAAATAGAAGTAAGAGTAATATTAAAAGGAAGAGAACATTTATTTTAAATTTCACCTACAGTGGTTTTCCATGGCTACATGTATAACTTTGACCTTTAGCTTTGTAATCTCATGTCAGAATTTTAAGAGGCCTTCCTTAACTGCCTAATATGGAGGCATTTACTTTGGAGCTAAGTGTTTGTTTTTGGGGTTTTTTTTAGAGAATTAATAGAAGAAAATATTTTTTTAATTTTTAAAACTTTTAAGTTTACTTAATAGTTTTAAAACACTGTAAGGAACATGATAAAGCAAATGACAAGCAGAAAAATTACAACAAAAGAGAGACATTGTACCCTTATTATTAACACAGTCTTATTGAGTGGATGACATCAATCAGCAGTTGTTGAGAGAACACTAAAGTTAATATTTGAAAGCATACTATGTATCACGTACAGTAAAGCTTGTCCCTTAAATTACCTCATTTTATTACTGGAAACATCTTGATTTTGCAGCTGAGGAAGTTGAGGGTCACAAAGGTTCAATAACTTTAACAAATTTAGAATAGTTTAGGTATTGGCATGTGCACTGAAAGCTAAAAAAGTAGAAAGAAAAATGTTTTTGTGTGTTCCTGGGTTCCAGAATGGAGAGGATTTTTCTTTTCTGTGTATTTCCCCCCTATTTCCTAAGTGAACAGTGTGTGTTTTTTATATGGTCAGAAAAAGGCTTCTTTTCCTAATTGAGGAGCCCTGTGCCGCTGGCAGGTAAGCACTGGGCTGCTGTCCCACCAGCCCCTGTGCGGAAAAACGATGTGGCTGTCTGCTCCTGTAAAGATTTACAGCCTCGGCAACTTGCTAAGAATTGGAGCCAACTCAGTGCAAGTGGGTTTAGCTTCTAGATTTGTTTGTATACTCATGTTCTTTTAACCAGTATTAAAGCTTCTGAGAAAAATGCCTAAACAACCCTAAATACAGGAAGTCTTTTATTCCAGATTCATAATATAGCCTTTTTTCCAAGCAAAATATTAAAACAAAGTGCTTTCAATGAATTTATAATTTAGGAAGTAACCATGACAAGATTACATGGGAAAAAATAGAAAATATAAATTAAAATATTACACAAAAAATACTATCTCCCCTCCCCCTCCCCATATCTGCCCATTTCTAAATTAATCCAAATTTCCTGTGGATTTTTTTTAAGTGGGAATATTTTTTAAAGGAAAGGAATAATTAAGGACACTGAAGAAGCCACACCATGAATAGAGAAAAAGTGAAAGTGGATTTTCTGGATAGTTTTATTTTTTTAACTGTCTTTAAGTATTATTGACACTTAAAAAATACATATTAAATATCTCCACATATTCATAACAGACCGTCTCTTCCATGGTCTGATACATGAGTTACTGTACATGCCGTGAAACCTGTAAGAGAGCTGGGACTTACTCCTTGGGGTGCACCACCTTGTTTTTCCAGGTCTCAGTGTGTCACCCACCACCCCCTTCTTTGGCCTCCTCCCATAGCAGACCGTACAGAATCCTTAATAATGTATGTTATTTTTAATCAAGGGTAATATGTGCTAAATATGTTTGTGTAAGGTCACAAATTGTTTCGTTAAAATCTTTCTGCATTTAAAAAAAAAAAAGGACTGGAGGAAAGTTGTATATTTCTTCGGTGCTATAATGCGCCGTGACTGTCTCCTCTCCCGCCCTCTCTCCCCTCACTATCACGACCCCAATTCCTCCTTACAAAACCACCTAGACCTGAGCATGTACACTGGTACAGATAAGAACTGTAATAGCCCCCAATAAAATGATTAATAAAAAGATTTGTTTAAAAAGAAAAATCTTTGTGGGACAGGAGGAGAATCAAGGGAAATAGAGGAAAGAGCTGGGAGGAAAAGGGCATTTATAGAGCTCTAGATAAAGACATGTACATATGCAAAT